CCATTATTAACTGATACAATTTTTGATTTTAGTAAGTAAAAGTTGAAATTAAGATTAAATATTGGAATAGCTATACCCTTCAGAGCATTTTCATTGTTAGTTCATGTTTACTTATGTTATCAAATAGAACCTTATTATAGTAAAGTGCCACACATTTATTGTGTAAGCAGTAGTGGATAATGGAGGTTTACACTAACAAAATCTGTATTTAGCTGGTCATGTGATTTCAATATGTCCCCTTAGGGCACCTCACTAAATCAGCCATCACTGAGGGAGTCATCTCATGTGAGTGGACATGATTTAAAGTACTATTCACCTTTAACATGAGTACATCTTTAACCTGCCATTTCCGAAACAATAAAAACAAGCAGCCTCTCCCAACCCACAGTAAACTGATCCATTTCATAAAGGCCTGTTCAACATGCCCGAAACAGATCTTGTGATGAGATGGAGCGTTTGTCTGCAAAGTTATTAGTTGCATTTTTTTTTTAAACTTGAAGGTCAAAGTTTGGTTTATTTGCTTCTTCAAGCTTTGAGTACTTGAAATGTTCTTCTTTCAGAGTATTGTTTTAAGGAATTGAGAAAAGAAATTGTACATCACAACACCAACAACCATTTATCCTGTCGTATGCAGTGATTATAAGTCTGCAAATTTATAAACTACATGTAAACCATGCAGTGAGTTTATATGCTCTTATTTAATTTGTTGTTTAAAAAAAAATCGAATTTCAGGGTCAAACTTGATCCAACTGAGATTAAAGGGCCATAATCCTTGTAATAAAAAGCTAATTGAATGATCATTGTATGGTTTTAAACTTCATTAATCTCGTCATATCCACAAAAACAAACATGCAATAACGCCACACCTTACTTAGCTCTCCCTGTTAACGAAATTGTATATTTAATGTTTAAACCTTTTAAATGTCTATAAGCAATAAATAGTTAATAAAAGTAATTTAGGTTTAACTGCTTCCTGAGAACGATCCTGCAGTGACACCTGCTGTTTACTCTCCTTATTGCAAACTTCACAATTCATCTGGAAAAAAAAACAAAAGGTACAAAAGCTGTCACTGGGGCTGTACCTTTTCAAAAGGTACACTTTTGTAACCAAAGGCTGAATATTGGTACCTTATTAGTACATATTAGCACCTAAAATTGACATATTAGCACCTGAAATGTACATGTTAGCACCGGAAATGTACATAGCCCAAAATATTAGCACATAAAATGTACATATTAGGACCTAAAATGGACATATTAGTTCCTGAAATCGACATATTACCACCTAAAATGTACATATTAGCGCCTAAAATGGACATATTTAACACTTAAAATGTACATATTAGCACATAAAATGTACATATTAGCACCTAAATGTACATATTAACACCTAAAATGTACTTATTATTACCTAAAATGTATATTAGCACCTGAAATGTACATATTAGTGCCTAAAATTGACATATTAACACCTAAAATGTACATATTAGCACCTAAAATGTACATATTAGCACCTGAAATTTACATAGGCCTATTAGCACCTAAAATGCACTTATTAGCACGTGAAATGTACATATTATCACCTAAAATGGACAAAAGTGTACCTTTTGAAAAGGTACAAACCCAGTGACAGCTTTTGTACCTTTTTTTCTGAGAGCAGTGTTCACTGCTATTACTTTAGCTACATGTACGAGAGGGAAATCAGAAATACAGTAGTACTAATGTCTACAGCATTTATATATGCATTAAAATAAAACAAATTAATTATGCAAATTAAAATCAAAGGCTAAGGGCTACCACTAATGTTAAAGACATGCACTAAACGTGCAGATTTTCATAAATAATAATAACCCAAATATACAAAATACACTGGATAGTGGGCACACACAAACACGGTTGGCTCAATCAAAAATGAAAATTCTGTCATAACTTGCCTGTACAGTTGATGGACCCCGTAAAATTAAGTCAATGGGGTTGGGAAGTCAAAACATTCTTCAAGATGTATTTTTCTGTGTTCAGCGGAAGAAAGAAACTCGAACAGGGTTAAATAATTACAGAATTTTCATTTCTGGGTGAACCATCCCTTTAAGTTTGTTTTCAAAGATTGACGACAGGTGGCGCTGCAGACTAGCAGATCATTCCAGTGTACACTACAATCCATCCTCGCGAGAACATCAATTACAATGACAACTTTTTTTAACTCACCACGTGATTCCAAAACTGTATGGATTTCTTCTGTGGAACATAAAACGATATTCCTGGAAACTCTCCACAGGAGAAAACAACATTAGGGTGAGTAAATAATGACAGAACTTTCATTGTTGGATGAGCTTTCCATTTAAACGAAAAGAGGGAAAGATAACATGATCAGATAAGCTGTGTTTTAATTATTTATTTTATTCAATATTGTATACATACAAAGTATTCTAGAAAGCTACAAAATATCTACCACTTTATCAAGGCGGCATCAAAATGTTACGGAGCAAAGACAAGACCATATGCGATAAAGAACACACACATAATACGTTTTTTTCTTTTCTCTCTCAGCCTTGCTCCAACGTTTTTTTTCCACCCCCATCATCAGGGATATTAAAAGATATCACACCTTTGTACCAAGAAAAGCCAGAATATATAATTTTATACAAAGCACCTTTTTACAAAAAAAATCTCTGCACACAAACCCAATATCTTTTTATGATACTATCTGAACTAGAGAAAAGTTCACTTTAAAGCCAACATCTTAAATGGTAATGAACATAGGAGGTACCAGTACCTACACACAGACAAAATACAAACATAGATCAAAAAACATAAGCTAAACTGCTGTCATACTGTAGTCCGGATTCTGCTCAAATCCTTACTTAGCATTGTCCATTACTAGCAAAATAATGTCCGTTTAACATTCATCATATTAAAGGCATTAGTTCTCAAATCTCTAGAGAAGTAAAGGGGACTGTTAAGGAGGAACTGACGTAGCAGATGCACCAGCAGTAACGGTATCACCACCCGAACGGGCTCTGAATATACTGACGTCATCACAAAACATGTAGAACAATACAGGAAGATCTCTATATGAAACGTGAACAAGAAGGCGAAGGTAAGGCAAACACAAAACAATCAACATCGTTTGCCTTTTTGATATTGAGCGTACTTAACTCCACAGTTTACTTTAAGCGGTACAACATACACAGCTGTAAATCTAACTTGGTCGTTCACTCTTTGAGGGTTTCATCCACTTAAATGAACAACATGAATAAATTATGCCGTGGAGATGATACGGTTTGGTGAAGCCAAGAACTTTGCGGATAATATCCTCAACTATCTTTAAGGTCTGAGGAGAAAAACACCTTTACGTCACTTAATATAGTGTTTGCTATATTCACGAAAGAAAAAGAAGACATTAAAATGGCTTAAAAAAAAAGGAAACACCATTTAACATTCATAATCTCCATGGTGCTGTGAGGTTTTCACTTTTATAATTTGATTATGCACTAAAAAGACACTAAAGATAAGTCTCACAAAGAAGGGAACCGAAGTTCTTGAAAGAAGAGAAAAAAAAACATGACAGTTTGCCACATCCACCAAATCAAATGCTGATAGAAATTTGTTATTAATAATTATTACATAACTTTTCAGAACATCTCCACTCACTAGCCCATGTTGATTTTTCTATAAAATTTTATGAAGGCAATGTGGTGAATATTTTACCTACATCCACTTTTTTTTTTTTGGTTTTTGATCATCTTAACAACGCAAAATAACATCTGTCTTTTCTAAGCTGGAAAAATCGGAACCAAAGGCACTTTCATGCTACAGTGCAGGAAATAAAGGAGGAGCTCAGTGCGTCTCCAACTTTTTGGTCTTTTCGGATAAGAAAGGCAAGATACTTTACGTACAGTATGTCTAAATATGTCTTCTATGTGTCTCTGAGAGTGAAAGGTCAACCAAATGGCCAGTGCTTTTTATTTTATAAAGATAACACGTAGGATCTTATGGTGCGGTCACATTTACGAAATTTTGCGGAAACAAAATTTGGTGGAGAATGCGGGCATCTTTACAGTAATGTAACCTCTGATAAACCAACAATAGTCTATTGACTATTGTCAATAACGTAATGTCCCTTAAAAAAGCAGCTTTCTGTTGGTCAGTGCGACGAAAATGAATTTTTCGCAAAATTTGCATGTGGAAAATTTTCGCCATAACGCAAATAGTGCGGATTTCTATTGAAATGACTGGATTTTGCCAACAAATTAAACGTGACCGCACCTTTAGGCCGTGTGTCCACCAAAGCGTTTTTAGCCAGCTGAAAATGCTAGACGCTCTGCCGAAGACGCCGTGCTTTGGGCGCTCGAGAGTGTTTTGGCAGCGCATCGTTTTTACTGTTGAGACGTTTCGTTGCTATGATACAGACTATCCGCAGCACAGTTTACTAGTAACTCATTTCGCAGATAATTTGTTTCATACTAAAAATGTATTTTTCATCCATTAAGTTCGGTTAGCTCTGCTGGTTGATGTCGTTATACAGAAAGAATGTTGCGACAGTTGGTCGGTGTGGTTTAGTCCCGCCCCTCCTCCACTGTGATTGGACGGCTGGGTAAAAAGTGACAGTGATGAGCGCTGCGTTTTATCCAAAGTTGAACATTTTTCAACTCCCGGCGACCAGTAAAAACGCCTCAGGGCTTCAGCGTGAAAAAAACGCCAAGCACCTCGTTACGCTCATGGCGTTTAAAAAACGCGGCGCTCCCATTGAAAACAATTGAAAACATACACCATGCGCGTGGAAAAAAACGCTTCGGTGGACACACGGCCTTAGTGTTACTTTTTCCCGAAAAACGACTGCGCTCATCTGCGTTGACTTCATACACTAAGGCACTGTGCTGTATATTGTTACACTTTGGCAGGTTTGTACTGTACAATTCCTACAACATGTGACAATAACAAGAAAGTCTTCCAGCTTAGGAAAGAGGTCACAGCTTTAGTGGCATCTTTTGGAGTTCACACAACCATTATTAAGGCTTGCAGTCGTAGAAATCGATTAGGCCACAGAGACATGGGCTGTGCGGGAATGTCGAAGGCAGCGAAGAACTCTGGGACTGAATCTTACAGAAGATGACGGAGTGCTCCATGACGTACAGCATGTTCAGGGATGGGCTTTGTGAAGTGTGGCTTCCCCAGCGGGTCCGACGAGTGCGTCCAAGTGCTCGGGTCAAGTTAATGCAGTGCGTTTTGTTTCTAGAGTTATCTTTTATACAAGCGTGTTGGCAGGAGGCGTTTAGCTGTCCAGTCAACAGGGTTGATTCTCTGCATTTTCTTATTGCAGGTGGTGACACGTAAAAACACACACACAGGTTGGTATAAACTTCTCGTATCACAGTGCAGTAATTCCTCAACGAAAATGAAAAAGTAGCATGTACAAAGTAACTCTTTTCAAGGGCTGGGCTTCTGAATTCCCTGAATTCTCGGAATGTTCGGAATGAGGGAACTTTTGTTTTCCGATGGCCACAAGAATCTGTTTTTTTTTTTTTTTTTTTTTTTTTTTTAACACCTACAGTAGTTTTCTTTTCAATAAATCAATGTTACAGAATGAAATTTCTCAAATACTTTTTCTTTGGGAAAAATACCTGCGGGAATGTACTGTATATACATCTGTACACCTACATCCCACTCACACACACACACATTTATGGCTGCACCCATATGCTTTCAGATCTTTTGAGTACATGATTTAAAAAATAAAAAAAAATCGAAATGAGGTTGTTTTCAACCTATCTCAACCCACCCCTTAAGTCGAACAATATCGTATGTCACTTTATATGTATATTCTACGAATGAATCTTGATCCGGCATTCTTTGACATTCTTTCCTGTATTAAAAAACTTAATACAACTGTACCGCCATTCACAGCTGCAGTTAAACGTCAAACACATATTAATAAAGAAATATATATATATATATAATTAGAAGCATCACCCACATGTGAGTGAAAATCATCTTGAGTTAGTGTTGAGCTAGAGGCACTGCCACTGTACTGAGGTCGAGAGTCTGTGTGAAAGAGCTGCTTCATTCCTTCACTAGTCTGTAGATGTGATGCTGGGCTCCGTGCTCGCTGTTTGACACTTCGAACACACAGGCCATGCACAGCAGGGTCTCCTGTGTGTCTCTGTTTGTTACCACCTGAAACAGAGAGACAGAGACATTGCATTACTGCACAGCAGAGATGTATAGTAACGAAGTAGAACTACTTAAGTACTAAAATGCTGTATCTGTACTCTACTAGAGTATTGTTTTTTTTCTCATACTTCTACTTTTACTTCAGTAAATATTTTCGATTAATTAAATACTTTTACTTCGATATTTTTTTTAATGTTCTGCTAGTTACTCATTACAATTATAAAAATTTTACGAATCATTCATTGCAAGTTGGCTTTCATGCTGTCTAAATCACACACCAGTTTTATAGGGTAATTGTATTGATTGACACAAACATTGACAACTAATGCAGGGGTTTTTCGTCGGCCGCCAAAGCAAATTTGTATCCCGCCAAAGCGCCTTATTTAATTGCTAGTTCAAACTTTTGAATGCTTTCTTTAGTAATTACATGACACAATACTTGGACTTTTACTTTTAGTACTTAAGTAGTGAATTTAAAAAAAAAAACGACTTGCAATACTTAAGTACAAAAAATGTTGAATACTTTAGTACTTCTACTCAAGTCACTTTTTTGATAGAGCATTTGTACTTTTACTCAAGTCTGGGTTTCTAGTACTTTATACATCTCTGCTGCACAGTAAACCACATTAAACCTGTCAAAATCATATTTGGGATACACTTTATTTTAAGGTGTCACTGTTACAGTGTAATTATACATTTAAGTACTGAAAGTACTTTAGCATGCAACTAAGTGTAGGGTTAGTTGCATGCAATTATGACTAATTTATAGTTATTGCTATTGTAAATACAGAACGTGTAACAAGCATAAATTAAATTAAAGTGTTAACCATATATCTACACAATGTTTAGAAAATTAAGCACAACACCCCTCAATTCTCATTACTATAATGGTAAAAATATAATTCAGCAGTGGCAAAAAAGTATCTATGCAAAAATGTATACACCTCCCGTTCAATATGATATATTATATAATATAAAATAATATGATGAAGGGTGACAGTAAAGACAATTATAATCTTCTAAAAAAATCGATTTCAAATGAAATATTTTCTTTTGAACTATTTATATCCATCCAAGAATAATAAAAAAAGGTTATTAAATTATTAAGCTTTTTTCAACATTGATCATATTAGGAAACATTTCTTGAGAAGCAAATCAGCATATTAGAATGATTTCTGAAGGATCATGTGACACTGAAGATCGGAGTAAATTACATTTTAAATTACAAATTACATAAATTACATTAAAAAAAAAAAAAAAAATATATATATATATATATATATATATATATATATATATGAAGAGCTCTTTTCCAAAACGCGTTAAACGACATTTTTAAAAAAAATGAGTTTGTCGTGTCATTCTGCTGCGGACAGAACCCTTTCACTGCTCTATCAACGTTTCATGCCGAATCGCTATATTTCCTTGTTTAAAATGTACTGCAAGATACAGTTTCTTCCCAAGCCGCGATAAGCACCAGCCCTGTTTTTAGCCTAAACACGATAAATCCTCAAATTCAATGAGCGCTCTACACAATCCAGCACGGCGGCACTCTGAACAGAGGTTTATTATGTTCATTCATTCCTCAAAATGAGTCCTAGTTTTCTAGTCGACTAGTAGTAGATCATTTAAGCCATTTGTATTATCAGTAATCACATATATTGATTTAATTAAATGGGAGAGAAACCATATGAGCGTTTTTAATTGCATATTCCGCATCTCAACGTATGCATAAAGCTTGCCACAAAGAACCGGCAAAAGTAATGATTATGCATGAAACATTTGAATTGTTTATTAATAAACTAGTGTTTTCTGTCAGTGTCAGCAACAAAGATAAAGTTGATGATGCTACTCGCCATCTTCGCAGTGAACGCGCATAGAGAAACGCATACTTCGAATTAGCCTACATACGCAGAGAGTTGCCAATTTATTTTAGTTTTTAATTGTTTTGTTTAAAAGTAGATATTTAAAGCTTTCTGTAGCTTAGTTCTCAGGCCTGTGTGAGGCAAGCGTCGCGGTGTTTCGGTTCATATTATGAGACGCGCTCCGGTTCACCTGCGCGCCTCTGTGTCCTGATTATATTGTCTGATATTTACTTCTAATGTATTAATCCAGTCAATTTGTCGATGAAACATTTATTAAAATGAAGATACAATTTATATGAAACGAAATTTACAAGCTTTCTACAAAACAAAACTTAATAAGTGGTCAAAATCATGTCTGACGCACTCCAAATATTTTCCGATATTGGGCAGCTTTTGAATTTTGATCCTATCTTACTCATCTCATGCGGTTCCCTTTTCATAGCCTACTCAACATAGATGAAATAATAAAAATAAGTAATGTAATATTATTAAAAACAAATGTGAAATGTTTATTTTTTTTTTTGTTTTTTTTTTTAACTTGTATTTAAGCGTCATGCTGCTCCGCTTTGCTCATATGTTATGTAGCCTGTGTGTGTGTGCATGTGCTGGAGGGGTGCCCATCCCTTTTTTGAATATCGTTATCATATATTGATCATTTTTAATAATTAGTTTTTTCATGCATATGTTGAAATTGGTATTAATAATTTGTTTTTTTTCATGCATATGTTGAAATTGGTACTATTTGTTTGAGGTTTATTTCGATTTATAGCGTTTTGGAAAAAAATAAAATTAACTTTTAAATTATCATTAACAATATTGTTGTTTGATTTAATAATTATTGTTCAAAATGTTCAGACTGAACCAATAAAACATTTAAACAGGATAATTTGAATATTCACAAAATGTGTGGGTCTAGGTAAAAAATGTAGTTTTCCTGAAAACTATTGAAATGGATTTATAGCGTTTTGGAAAAGAGCTCTTCATATATAAAATATCTCACAGACCCCAAACTTTTGAATGGTAGTGTACATCATAGTAGTATTTAGCATTATATGTACTGATTTACAATAAAACAAAACAATAAAATGTATTTATAAATTAAAAAAATATAGCAGTATATACAGTACATTTCTCTGACCTTTGAGAAGTAAAATAAAACATACTATATTTTTTTTTCTTTTGTGATTATTAATAATTATGGATCTTATATATATATATATATATATATATATATATATATATATATATATATATATATATATATAGCAGCAATGATAATCTAATGAAAATGACCAGAATTACAAAAAACTGAAAATATAAAGATTTTTAGCGCTCTATAAAATAAAGATCTTTAGCTCTGCAAAACATTGATAAGAATTTGATGAGGGGAAAATTGTCTTGAAAACTTGGGGATAATGCAAACAATCTTTATGGTTCTAAAATATTTTATTTCTTTAATTTTGGTCAGAAATGTGACCTGGATGTGTTTATGAGATTCACCAGTTCACTGATTAGATTTGGGAATGGATTTGATCAAGAGGAAGGTCTCACTTCATGTCAGTGTAAAAAAAAGAAGTTTTTATTAAGTCTTGTGCTTTTATTTTGTTCTTTTTTTAAGCACTTGACATTAGTATTTAAAAAGTGTTTGATCATTTTTCACACATTGGATCCTGTGCATTTAGCTCTGTATGTGTTTGGATCACCTGAGATCAACCCTTCAACAACCACCACCTTTCAACAACATAGACTATATAAACACATCTTTCAGGCTTTCTATCAAAATCATGACTGAAACCTCCATCGTACCAGGATGTGAGGGATTTGATGGAGGAGAGCAGGGAAAGTGCATTAGTAAGTCCTTCACTGTAGGGGAGAATAGGGCTCTAATCCTTATGTGTGTGTGAAGGTTAGAGAAAGGGGTTCCTCCCCTTTGCAGGAGATTATCAGGCTTTGCACAGCGCCACAGGAATGCTAGGAATGCAGAGTCGTATCAGCTCAGAGGCCACAGGCTCCGCCCTACAACCTGAGAGCTTCCACTGATTGGTTTAAACGTCACTGATGACATGCAGACTCACCAATAAGATGGTGAAGTTCTCCAGGACGCTGTTCATCATGTACTTCTCAGGCAGGTGTTTGAGTTTGTGGATGAAGTTGATCATGTATTCACACATGGGAGACCGATTTATCCGGTAAACAAAGCGGCCGTTCTCAAAGCGAGCGTACTCCGTCTGAGAGGACAGATGAGAGGGAGATGTTACATAAATATAACACCATGGCATATGATGCACTACCAGTCAAAAGTATGAAAAGTATGACTTTTTTAATTTAATTTTCATGTTTTTTAAAAGAAGTCTCCTATTCTTACTATGGCTGTATTTAATACAGTAAAACAGAACATTGTGATATATTATTACAATTAAAAATAACTTTTACACTGTAAAAAAAATATTGTTGGTTTAACTTAAAAAAGTAAGTAACCTGGTTGCCTTAAAATTTTAAGTTGATTGAACTGTAAAAAGTGAGTTAATACAATGAAGAAGAATGATTTAATCATCAGAAACTCAAAATTATATGTTATCTGAACTAAATAAATTATTTAAATTGATTTTACAAAAGAAAAAATGTTGTGATTACTACACTGTAAAAAAATATTGTTGGTTTAACTTAAAAAAGTAAGTAACCCGGGTTGTCTTAAAATTTTAAGTTGATTGAACTGGAAAAAGTGAGTTAACACAATGAAGGAGATTAATTTAATCATCAGAAAGTTATCTCAACTAAATAAATTATTATAAAGTTGATTTGACAAAATAAAATATGTTGTGATAAAAAAAATCTTGAAAATATTTTTTTACAGTGTAGTATTATTTTTTTGATATATATTTTAAAACATAATTTATTCCTGAAAAGACAGATTTTTGTGCTTATTTTTCAGCATCATTACTCCAGTGTCGTATGATCCTTCAGAAATTATTCTGATATGCTGATTTGCTGCTCAGTTTTGATTTATATTATTACATTGTAAATATCACTGTATATTTTCAAGATTTGTAATCACGTTTTTTCTTTTGTCAAATCAACTCCAGATAACTTATTATTTTGAGTTTCTGATGATTAAATCATTCTCCTTCATTGTATTAACTCACTTTTTCCAGTTCAATCAACTTAAAATTTTAAGGCAACCAGGTTACTTCATTTTTGAAGTTAAACCAACAATATTTTTTACAGTGTATGTTGTATTAATTTTTATAAACAGTTGATAAAACTGCTTAACATTTTTGTGTGTGTGTGTGGAGACATTTAAACATTATAAATGTCTTTATTGTCAATTTATCAAATGAATGTGTCCTTGCTAAAAAGTATTAATTTATTCTTATGTCTCTATGTAGTGTATCATGGTTTCCACAAACAAATATTTAGCAGCATATCTTTTATAAAAACCAGAAACGTTTCTTGAGCAGCAAATCAGCACATTAGAATGATTTCTGAAGGATCATGTGACAGTAATGATGCTGAAATTCAGCTTTACAATCAAATAAATTAATTACAAAAGTCTTGACCAAAGTACATACAACATTTTATTTTTGTACAGGAGATACCATGTGTTTTCTCATTAAATGTTCTCACTCTAGATTGAGAACATTTAATGCTCCATTCAAATGTTAAATCCTGCACTCAACACTCAAAAATTCACCTCCACTTTCTCCACAACCTGTTTGCCAAACGAGCAAACTTTAGTGGAGCAGGTGATGGTCATGTTCTCCGGGCTCTCGTACTGACTGGTCACTCCATAGAAGGCCCCGGTTTCATCCTGAATGTTGCAGTTTAAGTCAGCCTATGAACCAATGAGATTGAAGCTTTAATTATCAAATTAATTTAAAGGAAATCTATATCAGTACAAATTGATATATTTACCACTGACATAAAACATTCAATACAAAACTGCCATCTAGTGGAGATTGATAGCACAGCAACAACAACAACAACAACAACAAAAATACTACAGTATATTAAAGATTTTCAGGACTTAAATTTCAGTTTTGAGGATCACATACTTTTATAATAATTTTATTGTGTTTTTGTGTGGACCTTCTGAAATATTTCGGTGTTCCATATAAGAAAAAAAGTCAAGCAGGTTTGGAAGAACATGAGGGTGAGTATATATGTTAATTTTCAGATTAACTATCCATTTATCCTTATACTAAACTACCAATCAAGGCTATTTCTCCATATTAGTCTATTCAAGTATTAAAGAAAAGAACTGTGTCTGAGGTTAGAAAGAATAGATTAAATAACTTGGAGTAAAAAGGCACTCAAAAAAATTCTGAAAAAGAGCGGAAAAAAGAACAGCTCGCTCTCTGCTCTTTCAGGAAGCTAACACGATTTTCATTACAGAGAAAGCTCAAATATTCATTTCTGGCATGCTCTCTTTTCATTAAGACAAGCCGGTTACATTTTCACATCATATTCAAGAGAGGCATTATTGTGCAGATCCAGAGTTTCATTTGAAATTCAGATCCCTCCGTCACTTCAAACGGAATTTGAGCAGCCTCGCTGCGACCGCGACGAGGCCCACTTTGTTGGTTGCCGCTAGTTAGCATTTTACAAAATGCATACAATGTTTGAATAGCTATTAGAGGAGCAACCAGGTCATCCGATTGTTTCCCGATATTAAACGGAATAAGTGTGAGCTTTGATCATGTGCTCTTCAGCTATGCCGAGCCAAATATAGCAGCGGCGGTCTGGACATGCAAACAGGGACGGCGGTCTTTAAACCTAAAGTGGCCCAGTGTCTTTAGGGAAATGCACAATTATTCATGCATGTAATCACTCGGTGGATAAATATTTGCGTTAAATAGACAGTTGTATGGGTGGCGCTCTCATTAGAGTAGAAAGCTTGGCACAGCACTCTACGAACATGTTTGTTTTTAAGTTATGTTATATTACATTTAAATAATAATCATACTAAGTTCTGCCTGGGCTAATTGTGAGTTACGATATCTTTTGCTGATAATTGCAATCGCTAAACAGATGCTCGTTCTTTGCCGAGATTCACTCACCCAGAACTTTATGAGAAAAAATGAATTTTGAGGACCCTTGCCAAACAATTCCTTCAGCCCTCCTTTCTTCTCGGGGAATTTGTCGTAAATCTGACGAATATCCACCGACTCGAGCAAGGCATCGTTGTAAGAGTGATTTGTCTGACCGATGTGCACGAAAAGATGCTTGTTATACTGCACAGAAAAAAAGAAAACATGTTAGAAACGGGAAAACTTCTCAAATTGACAGTTGTATAGTTGTATAACTAGGGATATCAATTTATTCATTATTGTAAATGCATTTATGTTTTGATATGTTGATTAAGTAAGCTAATTAATCTTGAATAATCATCAAATAACAATATTTGGTGAGAAAATCCCCTGTAATGTAGACCATTTACATACATTTCATCATTGTTGCAGACAATGAGTTGTTGCTAACAAGAAGTTATGGTCAATGTTCATTTATAAAAAAAAAATTATACAATTTATAAACAATAATCTTGATGCTAATTTATACATATAAATGTTCAGCGTTAAATCGTGTTTGTTCATAGTACATTAACTAATGATAAGTTATGCAACCTGACAGTTACAGTTAAAGTTACTCTTTAATTCAAATTGTTAGTTTTATTTCTTCTGTATATCATTTAACATAAGCATATCACTGACATACAGGCCACAGCGACAGACTTTCAATTAGGTTTCTTAAGGAGTCATTCACTTGGAGTCATTTTTAAAAAATATCAGTATCACTACACTAGTATTTTACTATGTTACAGAAACAATACTTTTTTGTAAGGGTGATAATACGTGAATTGTTACAAAAAAATATATTGGAGACGTACTTAATTGGTTAAACCAGTTTATCTGATATTCAAAGAGCAAAAAAAATATTTTTTCAATCAGGAATATATAAAATTGTGAAAAGTAGGCATTGCATACTAGAATTCATACTAGAATGTGTGTTTTCAGTTAATTGTAGATGCCTCCTATCTGAAAACACCCACTTTTGAGTGGGAGGCTGTAGGTCAATGATGAATCATTCACAACAAGACAAAATTTGTATTAGGAAGTAAACCGGCTTTATTTTTATTTTAATTTTAAGAGTGACATACAGAAGCTACTCACAGAATCTGGATCTCTCTGGTGCTCCAGAAAAGCAGAGAATTCCACAAGCCTGAGTTTCGATGTGCCGATAGATCGGCCCTGCCAGGCGGGAACTGTGGGTGCCGGTGCTGTCGCGGGCTCATAACCTACACAGACACACTGAATATTAGCTCTTCTAATCAAAAAGAGTGTTGAATCTGAATGGATAAAAACAAGCCAAACGTGGACATACTTGAGATTGTAGTTGTGACAGCTGGCTGGATAGGGTATGCTTGCTGGGCAAATGGCTTAATGCTAAAAACAAAGACAAAGGAGAACCAAGAAGAGGAAAATGAGCAGTCTAGCGGCACTACATACTGAAGAGATTAAAAGGGTTATACAGCGAAGAAGAAACAAAGCTGCACAAAGTATTCAAACTTGGATTCAACCCATCATTGCCTCTGGAAAGGCTTCCTCTATTGCTGATCACTCTGAGGGAAAGAGAGATAGCTGGAAGGGTCAGGGAAAATGCAGACATCAAGAAGACGAGAACGACAATAAGGCAGACAAAACAGAGACAGAAAGAATAAATAAGATTTGCATTTCCAGAAGGAAATACCAGTACTTGCAAGGAGAGCAAAAGAAACACATAAAAGTTAGCAGAGAATAAAAAGGTTCAGACGATGTTGCAGACACAGAAGAATATGACAAAGAATAAGAAGCTGCGGATGAAGACGGTGAAGAAGATGCAGAAGAAGAAAAAGCACGAAATTATGAGCAGCCTACCTGAACAGTTAGACTGAACAGTGGGACAGTTAGACTGAACAGTGGGACAGTTAGACTGAACAGAGGAACAGTTAGACTGAACAGTGGGACAGTTAGGCTGAACAGAGGAACAGTTAGACTGAACAGTGGGACAGTTAGACTGAACAGTGGGACAGTTAGAATGAACAGTGGGACAGTTAGACTGAACAGTGGGACAGTTAGACTGAACAGTGGGACAGTTAGAATGAACAGTGGGACAGTTAGAATGAACAGTGGGACAGTTCGAATGAACAGTGGGACAGTTAGACTGAACAGTGGGACAGTTAGACTGAACAGTGGGACAGTTAGACTGAACAGTGGGACAGTTAGACTGAACAGTGGGACAGTTAGAATGAACAGTGGGACAGTTAGACTGAACAGTGGGACAGTTAGACTGAACAGTGGGACAGTTAGAATGAACAGTGGGATAGTTAGACTGAACAGTGGGACAGTTAGACTGAACAGTGGGACAGTTAGACTGAACAGTGGGACAGTTAGACTGAACAGTGGGACAGTTAGAATGAACAGTGGGATAGTTAGACTGAACAGTGGGACAGTTAGACTGAACAGTGGGACAGTTAGACTGAACAGTGGGACAGTTAGACTGAACAGTGGGACAGTTAGACTGAACAGTGGGACAGTTAGACTGAACAGTGGGACAGTTAGACTGAACAGTGGGACAGTTAGACTGAACAGTGGGACAGTTAGACTGAAAAGTGGGACAGTTAGAATGAACAGTGGGACAGTTAGAATGAACAGTGGGACAGTTAGAATGAACAGTGGGACAGTTAGACTGAACAGTGGGACAGTTAGACTGAACAGTGGGACAGTTAGACTGAACAGTGGGACAGTTAGACTGAACAGTGGGACAGTTAGACTGAACAGTTAGAATGAACAGTGGGACAGTTAGACTGAACAGTGGGACAGTTAGAATGAAAAGTTAACTGAACAGTGGGACAGTTAAACCGAACAGTGGGACAAGTTAGACTGAACAGTTAGACTGAACAGTGGGACAGTTAGACTGAACAGTGGGACAGTTAGACTGAACAGTGGGACAGTTAGACTAAACAGCTAGACTAAACAGTGGGACAGTTAGACTGAACAGTGGGACAGCTAGACTGAACAGTGGGACAGTTAGAATGAAAAGTTAACTGAACAGTGGGACAGTTAAACCGAACAGTGGGACAGTTAGACTGAACAGTGGGACAGTTAAACCGAACAGCTAGACTGAACAGTGGGACAGTTAAACCGAACAGTGGGACAGTTAGACTGAACAGTGGGGCAGTTAGACTGAACAGTGGGACAGTTAGACTGAACAGTGGGACAGTTAGACTGAACAGTTAAACCGAACAGTGGGACAGTTAGACCAAACAGTTAGACTGAACAGTGGGACAGTTAGACTGAACAGTGGGACAGTTAGACTGAACAGTGAGACAGTTAAACCGAACAGTGGGACAGTTAGACTGAACAGTGGGACAGTTAGAATGAAAAGTTAGACTGAACAGTGGGACAGTTAGAATGGAAAGTTAGACTGAACAGTGGGACAGTTAAACCGAACAGTGGGACAGTTAGAATGAAAAGTTAGACTGAACAGTGGGAAAGTTAGAATGAAAAGTTAGACTGAACAGTGGGACAGTTAGACTGAACAGTGGGACAGTTAGACTGAACAGTGGGACAGTTAGACTGAACAGTGGGACAGTTAGACTGAACAGTGGGACAGTTAGACTGAACAGTGGGACAGTTAGACTGAACAGTGGGACAGTTAGGCTGAACAGTGGGACAGTTAGACTGAACAGTGGGACAGTTAGACTGAACAGTGGGACAGTTAGACTGAACAGTGGGACAGTTAGACTGAACAGTGGGACAGTTAGACCGAACAGTTAGACTGAACAGAGGAACAGTTAGACTGAACAGAGGAACAGTTAGACTGAACAGTGGGACAGTTAGACTGAACAGTGGGACAGTTGGAATGAACAGTGGGACAGTTAGACTGAACAGTGGGACAGTTAGGCTGAACAGTGGGACAGTTAGACTGAACAGTGGGACAGTTAGACTGAACAGTGGGACAGTTAGACTGAACAGTGGGACAGTTAGACCGAACAGTTAGACTGAACAGAGGAACAGTTAGACTGAACAGAGGAACAGTTAGACTGAACAGTGGGACAGTTAGGCTGAACAGTGGGACAGTTAGACTGAACAGTGGGACAGTTAGACTGAACAGTGGGACAGTTAGACTGAACAGCGGGACAGTTAGACTGAACAGTGGGACAGTTAACTGAACAGTGGGACAGTTAGACTGAACAGTGGGACAGTTAGACCGAACAGTGGGACAGTTGGAATGAACAGTGGGACAGTTAGACCGAACAGTGGGACAGTTAAACTGACAACTGTCCAAGTATGGACAAAGAAAACGAAGGTGCAGATGAAGACAAAGAAGAAGATGCAGAAGGACAAGAGGATGCAGATGAAGAAGAAAATGAAGCAAAAGAAGAAGGTGGTGGTGAAGAAGGTGCAGAAAAAGAAAGTGAAGAAGAATAAGAAGAAGCAGCAGCAGAACTAGAAGGTTTGATGTGCCTTACATGCACTATAATACGAGGAACAGCTTTAGTGGGACAATGGTAGCAAAACTTCAAGAGATACTCACTCTTGTGAGGATCCAGGCTGGCCCGTGGATATCATGCCCTGCCAAAACTAGAGAAGAAGATAAATAAATAGACAACAAAACACAGGCTATCCACACGCGTCTGTGCACTCTAGATACACGAGTTATCACATTGCCATTGAAAAACAAGGTGTACGATGTGCCATGCCGTCTAGTTATCTTGAGTGTGGCATTAGTGGGCTTATCTGATGAAGGCAGGTGATGGGGCACAGCTCTGAGGGTGTGTAATGGGATTGGACCCGGTGGCCAGCCGTGTGGCTGAAGTAAGTGTACTGATAGGTGTGTGCCAGAGGGCGGTCTTACCCCTGCTGCTCCGGGGAAGGCAGGACGCGGGATGCCCGGAAGACCCAGTTTGTTGTGGATGGCTGTTGCAGAGACGATCTGAGCCGAGGACATGGAGGCCATACTCTGAAGAGCTTTGTCCTTCACGCTCTGATCCTTTAATAGCATTTACAAAAGAAATTAAAACTCATAAACGGATGGACACGGTGATCTAGGGGTTAAACTGTTTCTGCAAAAAAACACGGTTCGTTACACACGTTTGTAGCATGATTCATCTCATGTCTTAGAGAGTCTGAGACCAGTGTAAACGCTTGCTTCTTGAATTGTTTTTCTAATTTAATGACAAATACATGTTCCTGATAACATTTTCCAAATAGGATTTTTTTTACGTTTTTGAAAGTTTCTTATGCTCACCAAGGCTGCATTCATATGATCCAAAAAAAGGGTAAAACAGTAATACCGTGAAATTGTATTACAATTTAAAAGAACTGTTTTCAATTTGAATATAATTTAAATGTAATATATTCCTGTGATAATAATCAGAAGCATAATCTTGAGCAGCAAATGATCATATTACAATGATTTCTGAAGGATCATGTGACCCTGAAGACTGGAGTAATACAGCTTTACAAGGAATAAATTACATTAAAACAATAAAGTAGAAAACAGTTCTTTTAAATTGTAACAATATTTCCCAATATTACTGATTTAACTGTATTTTTGGAACAAAGAGACTTAAAACAAATCTTTTGACCAATTGAAGTGAAAATTTATTGAAAAATAAATTTTTTTTTTTACTTTCCACTTACATTGTAAGGTTAATAATATGAAATATATGCGATAACAGTAATAACAGGTCATCCTGCAATAATGACACTGAGAGTGAATATTTGTGATACCTAATTATCACAAACAATAAAATAGTTAAAATATTTGTATATTTACTGGATAAAAATTGTGACCACAAAACCATGGTACAAACCGAACCGTGAGACATTGGAAACCATCACCCCCCTACAGTGAACACATAAAGCAGCCCACGCGCTCACACACACACACACATCCACAGATAAGAAAGCATGTTAAAAGATTCTTCAGAGCTATAAAGCCGTTGATCTTAAGAGGAATGTGCGAGCACTAAAGACGGGAAGCCTGAAAAGAGCGAAAGCCTCCAGCGCAGAGAACGGGAGATTATAATGTTTAATATCGAGCGCAGAGTGAATGAGAAGTGAATTTAATGTTATATATTATCTTGCAGCTCCTACATTTCTAATAAACTGCATTGTGTCAGTCGGGAACAAGGTTAAAGTAATGCTAACTTTCTTTTTTTTTTTTGCTGTGTGTAATGTTCTCATTTTAAAAGCTCCAATCAAGGTCACCAAACGGAGCTGAAACAGTACAGATGAAGGCAAGTGCCTGAAGGACATCACATCACTTTCTCCTTTACACATCCTCCTTGTTATTTTCACAAGGAGGCTTAAGACAAACTCTGAATATAGAGTTTAAATTACTCACACACACATTTCTAAAACTGTTAATTTAATAAACAAAGCTAAAGTGGGATTGTCTAATTCTTCTACAAAGGCAAACATTCCACGTGCTTATTGTATAGTGTGCATGACCATATCAGGATGGAAGTCTGTGTGAATGGAGCAGAACTGCGTTGAAAAAAAAGAGTGAAAATTGGGCATAAGCGGAGGATGAACATGCCGGGAGTCACGGCTCACGTATGAGAGAGTGAGAGCTGGCTTAGACAGAGCTCAAGCAGGAGTTTAGCAGCTGCTATACAGCGACGGCAACACAGTGATGCACAGTCAAGAGCACTGAGGACTCGTACTTACCATGCTTGTCACCTAAATGCAAACAAACAAGGTTACATTGTCAATTTTCAATTTGCACTTTTGAGCAAGTTAATTCAAACAATTCATGAGTGTGCTGAGAGACTTGTGACAAGTTCACGGATTTATAGATCCGATTCACGAATTAATTCCTGAATGAAAGACCAGCATAAATTGTGTTTTGGATGTCAGGCTTCTTAAGTAGTTTTCACCAAGCTTCACCAGCTAACACCGCATGTTGCGACACGCAAAATCAACAGAGCTGCATAATTTTGACATGGCGCATCCTTTCTGTCTAAATGGAATGATGTTTTTTTGCAAATATCATTTCATGAATTGACGACTGAGAGATTTGCATTGTAATAGAGCTTGGTTAATGTATTTGGTATTGGCGGGATAGCTTGCTACGCTGCTGCTGTACCGAGACTGTCAATACAATACACACATTGCTATGAGTTACTCTAAAAAAGTAATTAATGACTAGTTACTAATTACCTCTTCAACAGTGTAATTAGATTACTGTACTAATTACTCTCTCTAAAAAGTATTTAATTAATTTTAATTACTAATTACTTTCAAAATCCCATATCAATCTCAACCAGATGAATAATACAAGGACATGAATCTGTTTTAATTCTTTCAAATAAATACTACAAAATTGCATGAATTATCCTTAAACAGACCAAGGTGGAGAAGTTTACATTATAAAAACATACTTTTTAACATCAGACAATACATATTTGATGTTAAACCCATGTCTGATCTCATGACATTTCACACTTTTTTTCATACATATTTTACAATAATTCATATGAATTTGTACGAGTGCGGTCGTACGATTTAGACACCTCATAAAATGCATACGAATCGCTGTGAGATCGGATTGATCTATACACAGTATTTACCTCAATAACGTCAGAAGTAACTGTAATTAAATTACAGATAAATGAAGAGTAATCCCTTACTTTACATTTTCAAGGGAAAAGTAATTAAATTACAGTAACTAATTACTTAGTAATTAGTTACACCCAACACTGGCTGTGAGCATGTAAAAGCCTGTTCACACCGGGACCAACTTTCTGCGCGATATTCGCCGACGTTTAACGCCTCGTGACTAAACAAAGGGCGCCAATGTGAGTGTGCGGCACGCGTAAAAGCGCCATTTAAAAAAAAACGCCTTGGGTTAATTTTTTTAGTTTGACGCGGCACGTCAAAAACTATCCGACCAATGAGATTGGCGCTTTTGCTCACGTGTTTGGAGCTTCTGAAGTTACAGTAAAGCACAACTTGTGGGCGCTCAAACACAAAACGGTCTTGCCGAGCACATACGGAACGGAAAAGAAGATATACGCCAAGTAGCGTCGCCGTCTAGTCTACACAGCCAGGAAGAAATAAAAGACGAGGAAGATGCGAGGCAAGATGAATGTAGAGCTGCTGGTCTCATTGGTGCGAGAACATAAAGAACTAAATGAAAAACGCGACAGGGACTACAAACATCTTGATAAAAGAAAACTGATATGGAGTGGTATTGCAGAGCAAATTGGCGCCATCTTATGTCAGGGAATGAATTTGCATGTTCACTCGGCTCATCGTCAGCGAAAACCGCTTAGGTATGAACAAAAAAAAAAAAAACACTGGAAAACACTGGCAAATAACGCACGCTGATATTCGTCCCGGTGTGTACGGGCCTTAAGGCTATGTTTACACGGAAACGATATGAAGATAAAACGCAAAAGTGGTGTTGCGTTATCAATTTTTATTAGACAAGCGTTATAGGTGGGAAATCCGCGTGCATATGGAGACGCAAATGTGTGTGTAATTCAATGTAGTATGCACTCCAGGCGGCTAGGTGGCACTGCGTACAACCTTCACTGCCGAGCAGACTTTTTACCATCTAGATGGGAACGTGACGGTGGAGCGTTTTTAAGATTTCCACTCTGGAGAGTGGTTTCACTTTTTTGCGTTTTTAAACGAAAGGCATATCCGATAAAATATTTTTTAAGCGTTAGGCCTTAGACATGCTGCTGCACATGTGACATACATGAAATAACCCCCATAGCATATCTATACAGGTGGAGGGTTTCAGAAAATGAAATTTTTGACTGTTACTTGTGAGCAATTCTATTTGCATTTTTAACATTATGAAATTTTTCCGCTAACCTCAACAGTTTGTCTCCTCGCACATGTATTTTTGATCAAATTAAGTAGGAAACAAATAAACCAATTTTAGTTAAAGGTCTCAACCCAGACAGCAAACTGACATTGAATCAACGTGGAAACGACGTCTCTCATGACATCGAAACAACGTTGATTTTGCTCATCGAATTAACGTTGAACCAACATCAGACGCGGCATTCTTCAAAGCTAAATGAAAATCGAAAATTGGTTTGCTTTCATAACGTTGAAACAACGCATTGATTTCAAGTTGATTTTCCGTTAGTTTTGAAAGAATGACGCGCCTGACGTTGGTTCAACGTTAATTCGATGAGCAAAACAACATCAGATCAACGTTGTTTCGATGTCATATTTCCACGTTGATTCAATGTCAGTTTGCTATCTGGGAAGTTAGGATGCGTTTCCCAAAAGTATCGTTAGCCAACTATGGTTGCATAATCCATCGTTATTCAACAATTACGAAACGAACGTACAGCTCTGGTACTGTTCTTAGAAGCATATAGTTTCTTGTTGTTAAGACATGCAGACTTACTTTTGGGCTAGCATGAGGTACACAGCTTATTTTTCAATCAATTTTTATATATACTGTATATTAGCGCGTCAATAATCAGTAGCGTTCACGTGTATGACGTAAGAGGGATAGCACAATGAATCAATAAAGCAAAACGACAGGAATCAAAAAGAGTGAAGTGTATGTCAATTAAATACTGCATGTTGACATGATTTAAAAAAATGTTGTTGTTTGAGTAAATTAACTATATATGACATTATCACTACACATCTGTGTTGTTGAACCAACTTGGCTCACGAGTCGCGGCCGTGAGCTAGTTCATTTCTCTAATGATGCATCATACTAAAATATAATGGTAGTTAAGCAGCGAGTTGAACAACGCAATTGAAGTCGCCATCAGCTGGTGAACAAGGTTCTGAACCATCATAAACTCCAATTGAAAGTGATGCTGGTCTTTTCATAAGGGTTATAACACAATGACTGTTTTATAAATGCGATTTTAGTGATATCCTCCTAAAGATATGCTAAGCCCTCTGAAGTCACACTACACATGCTAACAGTAAAACCAAGATTAAGGAGTCAGTGTGAGTGCTGGTCAAGCAGATGAACTGCAGAAAGCATCTTTAGGGAAGATTTATAGCTGATAATATGGCAGTTTGAGATTACTGTGGCTAGGGTTTCATTACAGACCAGCTCAAAGAGGGGCACCATAATGACAGTCATTTCAGTCAACATGTCTCAGATAAGAGCACACTGGGCAGGTTTACTATAATGCTACGCTGCAAATGGCAGGAGGGAGCTCAAATTCTTCCCCGCTCCTGATTTCTAATTTGCTTTAGATGAGAGTAGACAGAGACCCATACAAAAGCTGGCTGTTTTTACTCAGGCAGCCGCCAGTGTCCCTGAAAGACCAGCCATTCATGGCGGAAATGCACACAGACGCTCCACTAGACACACACGCACGAGCACACACACATATACACTGGGGGAGTCATTAATCTATCTGAGTAAACTGGGAACTGTGGAAAAGTGTGCTGGTCAAAAGGAGTTAGTCATCACCTCACAAAACGAAAGAGAAGGAGATAGAGAAGTCAGACCAACCTCAAGGTCTTTTCGGTAAACACAGACATTAGGAAATGACCCTTGCAGATGCATCTTAAATGACGGGTCAATTTATTATCAGATTATCCCTTCCACAAAAGCGCCCTTTTTTTTGTAAGCCGCAGCCTTTGTGGATGAGATGCATTTGATGTAAGGTGATTATATGCAGCACACTTTGCTGTTTACATGGCTGAATCACACAGGGTGGGGGGGGGGGGGGGGGGTGTTTGGAAATGGTTGATTTCAGTAGTTTCATTAATGCAGCATGAGGAAAGCATTTGACGGCCAGTGGGTTATTGAAAAAAAGAGCGAGAAGAGAGGGGAACGCCACAAAAAGCATCCGAGCGACGGCCCTAATGGGGCTCTTTGGGCCAGACTTCTTGTGCAGAGCGTTTGGGAAGAACAGATGACCTCATTAAACTTCAGAAGAGATAAAGGCAAAAGCAGCGCTGGTTTTACTCTAGACTGTGCTCTTCCTGTAGTCGTGTGTCTGCTCGTGTTGTTTAAGCAGTGACCAGAATCCAGCTGAACTCTGACCTCCAGCTCTCAGCCACTCTCACCAGCTGAAGCGAACTGCCAGCATGAGACACTCCACACACACACACACACACGCATGCAAACACAACACAGAGAAATGCATTCATGCGACCAGCGAAGTGCATTGTGCTTTTGAGGCTTTGTTTTGTCATATAATGGTTATCAGATTTGTACATCTTTAAAGCAGTTCTTCAGTGTGTATCATGTGGGTTGTCTACAAAAGGGTGGTTGGTTCAGTCCCCGGTTCCACCTGACCAAGTGTCGAGGTGTCCGTGAGCAAGACACCTAACCCCTGCTGCTACCGGCTGGATGGCGCCTTGTATGGCTGACACCGCCATTGATGTGTATGAATGGGTGAATGTGAGGCAAAAATGTACAGCGCTATATAAATGCAGTCCATTTACTGTGTCACTATCAAAACATCCTGACACACTCAGACCACTATAGAGCACTATATAGTGAGCTCACCAGCATAATAGAAACACCACTTTCGGACACTACTCGGATGTCTCTCGGCGTCGTTGATTGCGTCATTGCTGTCGCCCGTCCGCCATTTTTACGATGGTATGTAGGGATTGGGTTAGTGACCGTCAGTTGTACACTACTTTTCAAAATGCATTCTGGGATACATTGAGTGGACTATATAGGGTATAATAATCATCACGATACATTCGGACAGCACCACAAAATGGCGAGCTCACTACAGAGTCCACTATATAGTGAGTAGTGGGAGATTTCGGACACAGCCACTGACTCAACCAATGGTGTTAGTTCGGAGCCAGGGCTAAATTTTTGACTGACCAATGGCCAATTAACAAATCTTAGGAACGTAAGGCTACGTTTATACGACACAAACGTGTTTTTTACATGCAGATGACATCGTCGTCAAAACGATCCCTGTTCATACAGATCTGTGAAAACTATTAAAAACGCTTTGTTCTGCTGTCAGGCCAGTAGGTGGCGATGTCACTTAGTAAAGAAACACTACGCGCCTTTAAACTAAACACTTAATGCTCATGCCGCATGATGTCACCGTTTTCACAAAATCAAGTTTTTTTGCAGTTTACACGGATGCGATAATGGTATTGTTTTCAAAATCTTGCGTTTTTGCGTTTTCAGGCACCCAAAACGCTGTTGTCGTGTAGATGAACGGCCAAAATACATAAAAAGTTTTCCGCTTTGAAGATAATTTTTTTTTTATTTTGTGACACTAACTGCACAGATTACAAACTTCACTTTCATTTTAAACTTTTATTTGTAGTCGGACACAAATTGGAGATGTTAAAAATGCAGTAACCTTAAGGCCATTGCACACTGAATCCGAAATTCGACATCCGAAATTTTCGCGCGTTAAAAAAAAAAAAAAAAAAAAAAAAAGACCTCACGTTATGTCAATCACTCTTGCACACCGCCTCCGAGACTTTCGTCCGTCATAAAATTGATTGGATCGGGTTCGATTTTCTGTGTTTTTCACAACCACAGCCAGCATTTTGAGAGGTTTTTTGACAATTCAAAATTCGGTGTGCAATGGCCTTGAGTCCGAAATTTTCGTATGCGTTTTTTTAAAAATTCGTCACGCACAGAAACCTTGCTCACTGAGTCCGATGAATATTTATTAAACCTTTGCGGAACCCCCCCCCCCACAAAAATACAAAATGGATTCGTAAAACAGTGAGGATGATTTTGTTGCCCCCTCTCTTATTGAAAAGAGAAGAAAGAGAAAATATTGGGTCCATCCAATCCTGAAATTGTGCCGAGAGGAAGGAGAGTTGCACCTCCTTATCAAGGAGTCGCGAATTTATCCCGAGCGATTAATAATTTACTTCAGAATGTCAGTGGAACAGTTTCTGGAGCGATTCTGGAGCCACATATTAAAAAGAAGACCACCAATTTCCGTGAACCAATCGATCCTATGTCTAAGATATGGACACGCACACACATGTGCTGGGCAGACAGAACAGCTGTATAGGCTACAGGTTATTATACCCAAATAATACTTTAGTTATCGAATTGGGTGCTCAATCACACCTTAATCGATCCGAAATTTCGATTTGATTGAAAGCGGAGGTTTATTCCTTTTCTAATCCGATCGAGAGAACATATAAACACTTGATCGAATTGAAAACCGAAACTGAAAGGACTGTGCATGTGCGGAACGAGCTCCCCCCGGCCCTGAATTATCAAAAAAACCTCTCAAAATGCTGGCTGTGGATGTGAAAAACGCAGAAAATCGAACTTGATCCGATTTTTTTTGTGACGAACGAAAGTTTCGGAGGCGGTGTGCAAGCGTTGACAAAACGAGAGGTTGATTTTTTTTTAACGTGACTCAGTTGGCAATGGCGCCCTGTTAAGTTTTTATGCGTTTATCATAATGCATGTGGAGTTCTTATAATGTAATAAATGCTTATTTATAAATATTTATACCTACCATAAATTAATTTATAATTGAATATATTTACCACTAAAGATTTAGTTTGTGAACTTCTAAAAATACTGTCCCCAAAATTACAGGGATTGAAAAACCAATTTGCTGCATTATGGAACAACCTTCTCTCCAGAGCTATTGAATTTCACATCCATATTAATTTCCAAAGCATATGCCTCTTTTCAGGTTAGCGCGGCATGTGCCAACCGTTACTGCACCCCTGCTATATTTAACCAGGAGTCGGCGTGGGACCTGTAGCGTTAGACTCAGAGCACACGCACTTCGTGGTCAGTGAAACACAGAGGAGAAGACGCCCACGAAAGGAGGAATGCACATCGGGGACGGAGTACAGGCGTTGAATTATGTATGTTAAACAGGCCGTCACATGCGAGGGATCTAGGTTACAGGAATTAGAGCAACAAGGCACTCACAGGAAACAGGAAGTGAGACGCATGGCAACCACAAGCCCAAAAGCAGAAAAGCGCATACCTTTAGCTTGGAATGAAATTCACGAGATTTCCTTCTGGCAAGAACCTGAATGTGACTAGACACCTGCGGGGTAGGGGAGGGGAGGAAAACAAAGGAACAGCCTGTAACCATGGCGATGAAAAGCCCCCCTGCAACTGGGCAGAGCCAGACGTACCTTGATGGCAGCTTGGATTTCTCGAACTTTCTTTCTTGCTAAGACCTGTATGTGACTAGACACCTCCGTTTTTCAAAACAAAACAAGAAAAGCAAAAAAGAAAAGAAAGCAATCAAGAATCACAGACATTTTGAACAAGTCAAACATTTGAGGGCGGACGGCAGTTCAACGCGCCGGCCCGCTCACCTCCTCGTTTAAGTGAGCTGATTAAGGAGTATGCAGGCTTCTTAAGCACATTAAGACAGAGCAGATGTGATCTTCTGTGTGCAGAATGAGAATGGCCACGTCTAGTGGTCTTCGGGGAGGGTAATGCGAGGGCCCCGGGGCCCTTGCTCTGCATATTGCACCAAGTCAGAGTTCTGTTTGTGAATTACGGACTAATGGTGTATTAATAGTGAGGTTGTGTGATGTTGTAATGAGGCTCTGCTCCGATGGGTTACGTGGAGAGCGTTCCTCGTCTTAATCAGGCCAATCACGCACAAGTGGCTTTCGAGCGGGCCTCGTGTATTAATGAGGTCGACGGTCTCCGGAGGCCCGCCGCTCTCAACTCTCGCGGCAAAGTCGCATTTACACATATCTCAGCAGCACAAGTGCTCCTTTGACCTTTCCAAATTAATTACAACAATCACTTCAATGGTTCAGGCTTTGCCAAATGAAATTACAATGGGATTGTTGTGATGTTTCAACGTTCGGGTCGATTTCTGGGCTTTGCGAATTTTTTAAAGTGTCAACCAGATTTTTTTTTAATAATAGTGTCCACATAGGTTTGTGCCATTTCTCGCTAGCAAATCACTTTATGTAAATGCATGTTGTGGGTTAAACACAATGTTAGGTCCGTCAACAACACAATTTGGGGCATGCAGCCGATTGAAAAAGCTAATTATTACAATCCAGCCCTCAGTTTGTAAAAAAACTCCAAATGTGAAAAATGTTCACTGCACTTTGCACTTTTCAAACAATTGAAATGCGTTATACTAGGTGAACAGGATGGTCGCTTATAGACAATGGTCATTATTCGAATATATTAGGCTAAAGGCCCCGACATACTTCAAGCGAAATCGAAGACCGAACCGATGTGACGTGATTTCGACGGCCCGAAGTTAACTAAACAGCATGAGCTGAAAAAGTTTGCTATGGCAGGTAAACTACCATTGGTCCGTGGCGATTACGTAATGGGTATGTGCGGTGGTGTAGTCAAGTTTTTTGGAGTGAGTAAACTGTGATATACTAGTACATTGAGCGCTCATTCCCAGAAACAACCAGAACATTCAATAGCAGTCTTTTTGAGCTTTAATATTCATAGACACTTCATAGGCTACATATCGAGATTTGATTCATTGCATCATTACTTTTGATTTATTCATTCAAAAATGGCCAAATTGTGTGACGTTCCGCTTTACAGTAAGGCTAAGTTACATTTGTTGCTGGATTCTGCGATTCGATCCGTGCCGTTGCGCAAACAGCGAACGGGTGAATTTGTGAATGAAAGTTCTTTCACAAAACGATGTTGTTACGAATCCTTACACAATTTAAAGTGGGTATACGGAAATCCTTGACATTTTCTAGTGGGTATACGGCGTATACCTGCGTATCACGTAGGCGTGTAAGGTGTGTATGCGGAGACTTTGCCTTCTTTCGCATCATGAAATGCTTGATTTTTAAACGGTCAAGGTCAGTCGTCCGGGAGTAAAAAACATGAACACAGCTGCTTTACAGAAAACGACGTTGTATTTCTAATGAAACGAGACACTGACACTGTTTTTTGTTTTTTAATACGGTAAAGCTGCATGCTTTTAAGCAATCTTGTATGAAGTGATGTATAAATAAACGTAACATGAATTTACCAGAGTGCCGAATTGCAGAGCTCCTGCAAACAAACAGATCCACTTTGATGATGATCCAATGCATTCTCATCCTAGGGCGTCATATACTGTCGCTTTTGAAATTTCGTCGAAATCCAATGCACATGGCACCCTTTAGTGTCAATATAACACGTACAGAGCTTTGTTCAGTTATGGGTAGGTTTAGGTCTGGGGTAGTGTTAGGGTTAGACCACTAGGAGGCGCCTTATTGCCCAAATATATCTGCGTCTCATATTGACGCTAAAGGATGCCATGTGCGTTGGTCAAAAGCGTCAGTATATGGATGAGACCAGGCTGGATGATCAGATGCTTTTCCTATGCTTTATTTAAAAATGCCTGAACGTTTGAATGCTTGCTATTTTCTCAATTTTGTTATGTGATTATTTAGTGAGCATCACATTGCCTATTTACATATTCATCAAACAGGCGGGCGGCTTCGTATGTTTTTTATGCATTTCAAACTTCGTTTCACCCCTAAACAAACATCGAGAAAGAACTCCACCGTGAGTATATTGAGGCCTTGCCACATAACAATAAGGTTAGTTAACGTTAACTTTAACTAACAATGCGCTATACATTTGTTACATTATTTTAAAAAAATACAACCGTTTATTGCTAGTTCGCGTTAAACGTATTGATGAAATGAAACGTATTTTCAGTGTTAGTTCATGTCGTAGTTAAACATAATTGTAAATTATTACCAATATTTGATTGCTGAATGCAGTAATTGGGACGTCTTTTGACCATACGTCAACATCCGCATTTTTAGGGTACCCTTAATCGTCGGTTAAATGACGATACGGTGGCGTCATACAACTGACGCTTTACCTTTAACGTCAGTTAGGTGACGGGGTAGGTTTAGGTCTGGGGTAGGGTTAGGATTCGATAACGTCATCTAACCGACGTTTAAGGGTACCCTTGTTGACGTGTAGTCAAAAGACGTCCCACGTCAGTTATATGACGTCTTGGGATGAGACTGCGCTGGTAACTGACCAATCAGAATCAAGTTATTTGAGTGAATCATTCATTAAATGCAATTTAAGGGTTTGGGTGGATAGGGAACGAGGCAACTGTTTAATTAAATTATTTAACACTTAAAGGATTAGTTCACTTTTGAAAAAACTTTTGCTGATAATTTACTCACCCCCACGTCATCCAAGATGTCCATGTCTTTCTTTCCTCAGTCGAAAAGAAATTAAGGTTTTTGATGAAAACATTCCAGGATTTTTCTCCATATAATGGACTTCAATGGGAACCGGATGGTTCAAGGTCCAAAAGACAGTTAATAACTGTTTCAGATGCAGCTTCAAATGTCTTTAAACGACACCAGACGATGAATAAGGGTCTTATCATGCGAAACGATCGGTTATTTCAAAACTTATTCCAAAAATGTAACTTTTCTAAGGACAAATGCTGGCCTTGCTCTATTCTGTGAGGCGCGTTTGTAACGTCACGTAATACGTAATTACGTTCAAAAGGTCACGGGCGACGTAGCCGAAAGTACAGAGTCAGTGTTTACAAGTTGAACGCATAGGTTGAACGTGCAAACTAGCTCAAACGCCGTTTACAAAAAAAGGAATTAAAAGGAAAAACAACGATGTCGAACGATTTTGATTCTCCGGCAACGTCGCCCGGGACCTTCTGAACGTAATTATGTGTTACGTGACGTTACAAACACGCCTCACAGAATAGAGCAAGGCTAGCATTTGTCCTTAGAAAAGTTACATTTTTGGAATAAGTTTTGAAATAACCGATCGTTTCGCATGATAAGACCCTTATTCATCGTCTGGTGTCGTTTAAAGACATTTGAAGCTGCATCTGAAACAGTTATTAACTGTCTTTTGGACCTTGAACCATCCGGTTCCCATTGAAGTCCATTATATGGAGAAAAATCCTGGAATGTTTTCATCAAAAACCTAAATTTCTTTTCGACTGAGTAAAGAAAGACATGGACATCTTGGATGACATGGGGGTGAGTAAATTATCAGCAAAAGTTTTTTCAAAAGTGAACTAATCCTTTAAAACAGTGTGATAATTGTAAGAGATCTTCTACTGCTTTGGTGGTTTACTGTAAACACTTTGCTTGTTTGTTTTAACCAACTGATGGATCAGAGAGCGGCCTAGACACTATATAACCTGGAATATTGACATATCTCATTTAAAACAAGAGGATGTCATGAATCATGTTCCCTGTCTGCTGTATCTGATAAGAGCTTTGAGACATGGCCCACTGAAGTGAACACATACAGATCACCATGACAAGTTACATTATAATCAAATAGAGAAACAGATTCATGGATTTAAACAGACATTTCAGTTCTGAACAGGTCATCATTAAAATTGTGTTAGCTAATGTGTGAGTGAATGTGTCTGTAGTTCTGTGGCGTGTTCTGAATGAAACATCTACCGGCTGAGCCCAGCGTTCAGGGTCCGTCTCTTCTACAATCGCATTAGCGTTCTTGCGCCCAGCCTGAGCTCCATGCTTCTTCATGAGTGGCTATGTGTGTGTGCATGGGGGTACAACCTTATGTATATGTAAGTGAAAGTAGGGGTGGGCAATAAAGAAACACTTCAACCTAGATGCTAGGTGTCCCTTAAATGCATGTTTCACTCCACAAGCCAAAGCAGGACATATTTTTAGTGTTCTGAAAAGTGTTTTTCATATATTTATAACACAAGATGTGATCACACGAAATACTTGTGCAAACTATTCATTCATTGTTTGAACAGCACATCTTGGCTTTACAAGGCACACATAATTTCTATCCTGAAATCTTTTGTCAACAATCAACAGTTTGGCATTTTAGTTCAAGTTGTTAATTGTATAATATTTTAATATGCTTTTATATATGAATTAACATAGTACTATATTTATTTTAGTGCTGTCGATATATTTATATATAAAAAAGTAATTAATCGCACATTTTTCTGTAATTTTAAAGTTTTTAATATATTTTTATATTGTAATAATTTCACACTCCAAATTAATGCAGAAACAACATAAGGAGAGTAGCCTATATTTTAAATATTTGTTTAATGGCATCTTTTTATGAATTAAGGCATAATGATACCAATGTCTCTAAGAATTATTTATTTTTTTCAATTTTAGCTATTGATTATAGCCATTCAGTATTACCGTATAATTAGGGTTTGTACAACTTTTCATTTATGTGGACTTTAAACAATCTTCACATAAACCTATTATAATAATACATGTCACATTTACCTGTGCCCTTCAATATATTAGGCATTTTAGTTCAAGTTGTCAATTTTATAATATTCTAATATGCTTTTATATATGAATTAACATTTATTTTAGTGCTGTCGATATATTTATATATAAAAAAGTAATTAATCGCACCTAGCTTTAAAGTTTTTAATATATTTTTATATTGTAATAATTTCACATTTAAACTCCAAATTAATGCAGAAACAACATAAGGAGAGTAGCCTATATTTTAAATATTTGTTTAATGGCATATTTTTATGAATTAAGGCATAACTGATACCAATGTCTTTTTTTCAATTTTAGTTATTGATTATATAGCATTACAGTATAATTAGGGTTTGTACAACTTTTCATTTATGTGGACTTAAAACAATCTTCACATAAACCTATGATAATAATACATGTCACATTTACCTGTGCCCTTCAATATATCAGGACTATTTCTATTTCTATTTTTCTATTAGTCAGAGCAATTCAGAGTTTTAAATGCCCTGTCAAAATGCACAAAAAGTTATTATTTTCCTGCTTTTTGACCCATGTAACTGTGTAAACAGTGCTTTAAGATTTTTAGGTATAACAGGTAGGATGTTTAGCCTACAGAAAGTTATCAAAATTATTAATTCTTATTAAAGCAACCAAAGTGATCACTGAAGAGCAGTGAGTGTTTTTCTTTGATTATCATTAATGACAGACAGCAGCAGGTTTATTAGGCTGCTGTCACTTTAAGACATGACACGGATCTGACACATGTCCCATTTTCTCACAACTCTATGTTAATTTAACATTTCATTTAAGACTGTGCTTGCGAGGATACTCTCTTTTGTGTCTTATCGAGCTTGAATGGTTTAAAAGCATCTGCATGAATAAGAGCGTGATCTAATGTAACGCTGCCAAAATATTACAGGAATAATGTTGTGGTAAATCTTTTTAACACGTTAAACTGCATGAAACTGCAAAATTTAGTGCATGTGTTAATTTTGACAGCAGTAAATATTATACATATTCTAATAATATGATTTCATGCATGTTTCCTTATATCGCCCACCCCTAAGTGGATGTCTTTATTGTTTGAGCTGTAAGCTCTCTCTCTGCAGAAGCTCAATCAACAGGACTGGCCTTCCCCCATTTAGTGGCATGCATGCAAGACCACGGATTCTCTTACCTGTTTCCGTGTCCTTGTCTTCCCAGTTCTGAGTTTAATGTATCTGGCAATCAACTCATTCCGACCTATCAAAGACAAAAGATGAGATGTGTTAATGTCAAATGTGTGGAGATGTAATGCTGTAAATTCAATTACCCCAAATCAAAGCAGAAATGCGAGCCAATGAGCCAAAATCTCAATTGTTCCCACTATATCAGCAACATGTAGCATTCTTTACCCCAGTGAATAAACAAACACGCCTAATTTAAATGAAACCTTGGCTGTGAGTGCCATTACCATGAAAATAGCCCAACAAATCTACAGCTTTTCAATTTAATCTAATTTAATCCCAATTTCTTCAAAGCCCCATGCTATGAAAAGAAACCGATCCAGACATTCATATGGTTACAGCACGTAATGACAGAGAACATATTCATTTAACACACTACTGTTCTCACTAAATAATAATTAAAGCATGGTTTTGTAGTGATCTCCAATTAATGGCAGCTCTACACATTCTTGCGCCCTCGGCACTGCTCTAATTACTGATGCAAGGCACAATGACCCCTGCTTAGCCTTTTCATATGTTAATAACATACCGCCACCCCAAAACTATTACGCAAATTATAGGTAAGGAGCCACTCTAATTATGTGTCCAGCTGTAGCCAACGGTTGCCATAGAGCCCCCCCCCCCTTTTTTTTTTTAATTCAGGATTATGTAATAAAACGAGCTTTTTAAACAGGCAACCGCAAAATTGATGTAGCTACAATTTACCACGTGTCCACACTATTTACGTTGGAACAACAATAAACTGTTTTTTCCACAAAATATAATTGGCATAAAGTAAAAAAAATATACACACACACATATGCTTTATTTAATCAATAGAACTGTGGCAACAGATTACAAGCAATATTATTAATTAAATCTAACAAATTAGAATTGAGTAATAATTAATCAAATCAATTCCTTAAAAGTTAACCATTTAAAATGAGTAAAACTTACAACAACAACAACTAAAAAAAATCATAAATTGAAGTCACCATTATGGTGATCAGTGTTTGTTTTAAAATGACGGTTTTCTCCTTCAGTGATTCTGCTTGTTAACGTCAGGTGTCTTCAATGTTGGCAATATAAAATAAATAGTTATTAATTATCTTTGACATTTGTCTGTTAGGGAGATATTCTTTGGTGTAAACTTTACTCATTTTAAATGCACTGTAAAAAGGTTGTTGTATATTTTACAGTAACTTACTGGCAGCTGGATGCCAATAAGTTACTGTAAAAGTGTTTACAGTATCAGTACTGTAATTTAATTTACAGTACGACAATCGTATACTGTATTAATATTTACAGAATGAGTTCTATATTTTTCATTTACAGTACAAATACCATATTTTAATTTACAGGAATAATTCAGTATATTGTATTCATGAGTGCAACTACCGTATTTTTATTAACAGTATTAGAATTGCTTTCCTATTACATAATTCGATTTTTTGACGATTTACAGTAGAAAATAATTACAGTAGTAAACACATATTTTCCCATAATCCTTGGCTATTTACAGTATTATACTGTTGACACATTTAACAGTATTATACTGTACATATTACAGTAAAATACTGTTCAAATTACAAAAATCCATTACAGTGTGGTTAATGGTTAACTTTTAAGGAATAATTTGATTAATTATTACTCAATTCTAATTTGTTAAATTTAATTAATAATATTGCTTGTAATCTGTTGCCACAATTCTATTGATTAGATAAAGCATATTCATTTTTAAAGCGTACACATATATATATGTGTGTGTGTGTGTGTGTGTGTGTGTGTGTGTGTTTTAAAACCATAGATACAGAAAATCCCACTTTATGTATGTAATTTATTTTGTGGATAAAAGATGGAAATAGGGGTGTAACAATATATCGTGCCACAATATATCGCAATACAAAAATGCAACAATACATATCGTGGATAGTGACAATGTATCGTGGATAGTTCCCCCCAAAATCAAAATTACTGTGTGAGAAAAAAATTCAAGTTTTCAGAGTTTTAGTGTCCGTACACTGTAAAAAAATATTGTTGTTTTAACTTAAAGTAAGTAACTTGGTTGCCTTAAAATTTTAAGTTGATTGAACTGGAAAAAGTGAGTTAATACAATGAAGGAGATTCATTTAATCATCAGAAACTCAAAATAATAAGTTCTCAAATAACTTATAAATTATTAATTATCTAAATAAATTATTTAAGTTGATTTGACAAAAGAAAAAATGTTGTGATAACAAATCATGAAAATATATTTTTTACAGTATACTACATTAAACTACTATATTGAATGTTGATTATAATGTATAATAATGCAATGGGGGAATATTTGTGGGTCCTGATAATGACAAATTTCCTATGTTACCAGTAAAAAGTGGGCTACATTTATTTGAAATATATTTCAGTGACAGAGTGCAAGCATATTCGTTTAAAATAATTCTGTATATTCAGCTTCAGAATCATGAATATTTTTATTCTGGTGTCACCACAGCCTATTTAAACCCACAATATAATATCAAAGTTAGCATTTTAATCATTAGTACTTTCTTTGTAAACCTTACATTGTGATATGTATTGAATTTCATTCATTTTCCTGGCCTATGATTAGAGGGAATGGGAATGACCCGAACACAGCGAGACTTGAACTCAAAAAAAGCCATATGATCACCACTGCTCAACATGTACCTAACAACCAGGCCATATCTCCATCAAAGCACATGTTAAAATTAAAGGGAAAAAAAAAAAAGTTGAGTTGAGGAGGTGAGGTGAGGTGAGCAGACGTGTTCTGGGTGTGGAGTGGGGTGACTGGCCATGACGGAGGCTGGGCTGAGGTCTGTTGTTTGTGAAATGGGCACACACTGAGATGGCAAAGCCGCATCATCCACCTGCTGTGCGCTGGGCTCGCGGTGTTCAGGTGGGCTGGGTAATCTCCTGAGCTTCTGCTATTAGGCACACCTGTCGTGTGAAAGGGAATCTCTTTCTCACTCACCTCCTCTGTCTCTGACGTACCAGTAATTTGCTTTTCTCTCAGTAAAATCCTCACGAGTTTTAAAACCAATGGGAACCATAAAGAATTGATTGGACCTGCTGATATCATGTTTTTTTGCTTGTTTCCGCCACTGAATCCATTTTTTTTTTATTCCAACTTTTCATCTCACAATTGAGAGATATGAAGTCAGAATTGTGAGAAATAAAGTCGCAATTCTGAGAAATGAAGTCGCAATTGTGAGAAAAAAAAGTATTGAGACTTTATCTCACGATTCTGACTTTTTTTCTCACAATTGCGAGTTTACATCTCGCAATTCTGACTTTATAACACATAATTGTGAGTTTATATCTCGAAATTCGGACATCTTTTCTCAGAATTGTGAGATATAGAAAAAGACCTTTCCCCCCTCATAATAGTTTATAACACGCAATTTTGACTATATTTCGCAATTCTGACTTTATATCTCGCAATTTTGACTTTATAACATGCAATTGCGACTATATTTTGCAATTCTGACTTTATATCTCACAATTCTGACTTTATATCTCACAATTCTGACTTTATATCTCACAATTCTGTCTTTATATCTTGCAATTCTGACTTTATAACACACAATTCTGACTTTATATCTCACAATTCTGACTTTATATCTCACAATTCTGACTTTATAACACACAATTCTGACTTTATATCTCACAATTCTGACTTTATAACACACAATTCTGACTTTATATCTCACAATTCTGACTTTATAACACACAATTCTGACTTTATAACACACAATTCTGTCTTTATATCTTGCAATTCTGACTTAATAACACACAATTCTGACTTTATATCTTGCAATTCTGACTTTGTCACACAATTGCGACTTTATATCTCACAATTCTGACGTAATATCTCGCAATTCTGACTTTGTCACGCAATTGCGACTTTATATCTCTCAATTCTGACTTAATATCTCGCAATTTTGACTTTATAACATGCAATTGCGACTATATTTTGCAATTCTGACTTTATATCTCACAATTCTGACTTTATATCTCACAATTCTGACTTTATATCTCACAATTCTGTCTTTATATCTTGCAATTCTGACTTTATAACACACAATTCTGACTTTATATCTCACAATTCTGACTTTATATCTCACAATTCTGACTTTATAACACACAATTCTGACTTTATAACACACAATTCTGACTTTATAACACACAATTCTGACTTTATATCTCACAATTCTGACTTTATATCTCACAATTCTGACTTTATAACACACAATTCTGACTTTATAACACACAATTGTGTCTTTATATCTTGCAATTCTGACTTAATAACACACAATTCTGACTTTATATCTTGCAATTCTGACTTTGTCACACAATTGCGACTTTATATCTCACAATTCTGACGTAATATCTCGCAATTCTGACTTTGTCACGCAATTGCGACTTTATATCTCTCAATTCTGACTTAATATCTCGCAATTCTGAGAAATTAAGTCAGAATTGTGAGATAAAAAGTCACAATTACCTTTTTTATTTTTCATTCTGTGGCGGAAACAAGCTTCCATAGAGCCCTGCACATGAAATGCAGGAAACAATATGTATATCATGGCCACAAAATCAGTGCGTTCACACGACTTACTAATACATCAGCACGTTTGACTAAATCTTTACTTTTATTTATTTACAAAACTTCAGGAACAAATTATTATAATGTGCACACAATTTAGTAAAACAAGGGAACAAATTAGTGAATCACGGGCAGTGTTGGGTAAGTTACTCTAAAAAAGTAATTAATTACTAGTTACTAATTACCTCTTCAACAGTGTAATTAGATTACTGTACTAATTACTCTCTCTAAAAAGTATTTAATTACTTTTAATTACTAATTACTTTCAAAATCCCATATCAATCTCAAACAGCTGAATAATATAAGGATAGACATGAATCTGGTTTAATTCTTTCAAATAAATACTATAAAATTGCATGAATTATTCAGATATATTATTCAATATAAAATTAACAGACCAAGGTGGAGAAGGT